TTCGGCTCAGTCCTTCGGGCGGAGCAGCTCGGGGCGCCTGCGTTCACGAAGTCCTTGCCGACGTCGGGACTCACGGTGCAGTGCATGTGAGGGGTAATCGTCCCCAGTGCCCACAACTCGTCATCGTCGCTGGGGTGGCGCGTGACACCACTCCTGCCGGCGGGAGTGATGGTGCACACCTCGTCGTACTTGGGGCACTTGATCTTGCCGCTTGCAAAGTTAACGGAAGTGCCCACACCTGAGAGAAAGCTGCCCTCAGGGCAGTCGTACCAGTCACTGTCGCCGATGTAACGGACCCTGAACGAACCCCTGGCACACGCCACCTCCGCGCAGACGGCGGCCACAGCACAACCACCCTGGGCTCCGGGCCATACGTCTCCACGTTCACCTTGAGCGACTCCAGTCGAGACACCATGAGCCAGCACCCAGGCGGCTCCCATGCAGGGCCGTGTTTTCCTCATTGCGGCATGAACCAAAAGGTGACGACCAAATGAAAAGGCACTTGTCGTTCACGAAAAACTGCATTGGCCCAAGCCAACGCGGTCGCCTGTGCAGTACGACATGGTGTCACTGTAGTTATCCTAACAGAACATTGCGGGAAACTTGGTGTGGTCGTCCGGCCCGCACTGCTTTTCATTGACAAACTCGCATCCGACGTTTTTGCTCCAGCGCATCGTCTCCGCCATGCTGAAGTTCGCCTTGTAAAAGCCCATATCCTCAAACGCGGCCATCGTCAGCGCGGTGTAGAAGCCAGCACCAGTGGCAACCGTGGGGCCAATCAGTTCGTCCTTCGCGTGCCACCGAACCCAGTGTGAGTGCAACCGTGATACATCGTCGTATTCATCCCTCAGGGGCATGCCCTCAAGGCTGCTGCAGTTGAAGTGCTCCTGCGACTTCTCCTTTGTAAGCGTGGAGAGCACCGTCCACGACTTTGCCGCATAGCCCCTAGTGGTGAGAGTGCGCACCACACTCTTGGCCTCCATCTGTTGGTAGCTAAACCCAAGCACATGCACGAGTTCATGTGCAACGACGCGGACAGCGAACCACAGGTGGAAACCGCCAGAAAGATAAAAATTCATGGCGCCGACGGTCATTCTTATTGACCGTGACGTATGGAACGGCGAAGATTGCAGACGGCCCAGCAGCCAAATAGAGCAATGTGTCTGCGCCCTGAACCTCTTTCGTGTGGTGTTCCGCAGGCACGGTGAAATGTCTGCACTGCGTTTGACGGATGGATTCGAGCACAACCAACGGAGTCTTCACGCGCTGCACGAGGAGGCACTCCGAGTGCAACTTGATGGCGGATGAGAGGATAGTTTGGAGCAGCCCAGCCTTTTTCCGACTGGTGAGGACGTCGTCCTCCAGGCACTCGCCAGCGTAGCCCAGAAACGTTGGACGCTGCTCCCCTTCTTGAGTGCAGTACTTGTCTGGGTCGTCCAGGTCCAGCTTGGACACCACGATGCGGACAGGCTCCTACTCCCCCGTCCCCTCCGCTTCTGTGGAGGCGGTGTGCGCTCGCCAGGCACTCTGGCCCTTTCGGGGGTAACTCCTGCACCATCTTGACTGGGCGTGAGTCGCTCCTCGCCATTATCTCGTTGAACATGCATCAGTGCCTGGCAGCGGTGAGGCGGCTGGTGGCGCAGCACATCAGCAGCAACAACAACAAGGGCACCGTAGCAAGTAGGGACGGGCGCATTGCTGTCACCCTTGTCTGCCGGGCCTTCCGAACAACAAATATAAAAGAAAGAAGAGACGCATAGCTTGACAGCGGCATGGCCAACGACGGTCGCAAAAACGCCCAACACGGACCAGGGAGCGGCGCACACATGGAGGCATATATATATGGCCATAAAGGGGTGGTGGTGGTGGTGGGCAGAGGTCGCACCCAGTGGGAGGCACAACACAAGTCTTCCTCCCCGTTCCTTTCATTCTCCTTCTTCCTTCCCTCCCCCCACACCCTCTTACACTCGACGTGTGCGTGCACTGTGATAATGTCATTCGTTGCCATTATGGCCGCGGTCCATGCGCACTCCGCTGCTGGGGGCGGAGTAGGCTATTCAAAGGGGTTGTGCTGCAGGATGGTGGTGTCGCCGGAGGAGAAGCTGACGAGCGAGCCGCCACGAATGACGCACACCCCAAGGCGCCGTACGAGGGCATCTCCGTCCCACAGCTCCACATTTGCCACGACGAGGTTGATGTTGTTGTCGAATCCCTTGAGGATGCCGTGCACTTCCCT